GTTATGCTCCATCTTCCGATGACAAAGGCGCCTTGGGGCGGTCGCAGCTGGGGTTTGGGGCTGAAAGGTGCGGTTTTGGGAGAAGCAGCGAGGGTGAATTAGGCTTCGCTCCCCAGCTTTAAGGGGCGCACGGCAGGTGCCTCCGGGAAGGCTGCATCCCGGGTATTTACTGCGTGAACCGGTGCAGAGCGATCCTGGGCCTCCTTGGCAGTTAAGTGAGGTCGCGACGCCCTGCGGGGCTGCTCGGGGGATGATTCCCGATCTCAATACACGTGCCTTCTCCCTGCAGCGTTATTAAACTGCTCCTTTTGCTTCTTGACCCTCATCCAGCCGTGAATCACCCCAAAGCCGTTGCTGCGAGGGGTGTTCCTGCGGCCCCCTCGCCAACCAGGGGACACCAGCTCGGCTTCTGACCGCCGCCTCTGTCCCAAGAGGCCCCATTTGGGTCCCGAGACCCAAATGCCACCCCACCATGACGGCCGTGCCAGGCAGGCTGTCCCCGGGGGGGGGAACAACCACGGGGCTTCCTGCACCCCCGGGGCTGGACGGTGTCCCCGGTTCCAGCTGGGGCAGGCAGAAGCACCCACCATTCGAGCTTCAATGAAACGCTCCAGCGACACCCGGTGAACACGTTTCATGCCTGAAGTTTCCTGAACTTCAATTTTGCTTTATACTTGGCTGCTCTTTCCTTGCCTGACAGAGCGAGTCTGCTTTTTGGGCTGCTCCACACCACCCTCCAGCACTCCCAAGCCCCCGGTTTTGGCCGGGGTTGCAGGGTTGTATCCTTGCCCGGCCGACTGTATCCTCGTGCGCATGGTAACCTCGGCGCTACCCTCGGCCGTTGGCCGTGGCTTTTCCTGCTGCCCTCGGGGTGTCTCGCAAAGAGGGCCAGCGTCCGTCTGGAAGCGACGGGCAGATCTTATCTCAGCCTCCGCACGGACTTCGGGTCAGGGCAGCCCACAAACGCTCAGCCGCGTCCCCGGTCGTGCCAGGAGTCTGTGGCCGGACGTCTCCGGCTCAGCATTCGGGAGGAGATGGGGTCCGGGGCGCGAGCCAGGATCTTGAGTGGAAGGTGCGGGTGTGGCTTCCCGATCCCGTATTCCCCCTCGAGGCAGGCAGGGACGTGGTGGGGCAGCATCCGTCCTTCTGTGAGTACGAAGTAAATGAGTCAAATCCTCTTCCCCCGGGACTTTATAAAGCAGGCAAGTCACTGCGCTGACATCCCTCGTCCGCGTTACCACCGGTCCTACCGAAAAGCCGTTCCTCCAGCGCAGCCAAGCGAAGCGCGTTTCGGGTTTGCTGCTCCCCGGCGTCACCGGGAACGATTTCACCAGAAGCGCCGGGGGTGGTTCTCAATCTGCAATGCCAAGGCCGGGCTGCGTCTTGGCTTGCACAAGTGCCGCTGTGTCACGGCACGGGCGTTCACAACGCCAGACAAGCTGGAAGTGAATCGCAACTCCCCTTTATTTGATTTTTACAAACACCTGCGGGGTTTCCTTTGGGTTTTAGTCTCCTGTGGGCTCCAGCAAGTCCTATCAGAGCACCCCTCCGTATTGGGACCGGCGCTGTTTAATATCTTCATCAATGACACGGACAGTGGGATCGAGCGCACCCTCGGCAAGTTTGCAGATGACACCCAGCTGAGCGGTGCGGTCGACACGCCGGAGGGACGGGATGCAAG